TTAGAGTGTGTGCAATGTGTGTCGGGTTGCTCACGTCCACTGTAATTTGTGTAACGTGTGAGAGTTTTTTATTATGAAAATTTTCGACAAATTTTCAATTTTGCCTTCGAATCTCTCCAACAATAACTCGGAAAGCTGGCCAAGCCAGCTAGAACGAATTCAGCTGCTCCCATCGCCATCACTCACATCGGAAGCAGCGCTGCAGTGCCAGTGGCGGGCGAGCGACGCGCTTTGAATTCAGAATTTGTAGATTTTCACGCGTTCGAGCGCGATCACTTAAGCTGGTAACACTCACCGTTGTTTTTGACTTTGTTGCTGAGCACTATTTTATTTATTTAATTTTTGTTCCTTTTTACGGCAGACAGCCTACTTTTTATGCTCGTGAGGACCGGGATATACACACGGACACATACCCTTGCATGCACATGCGAAAATTGAGTTTGCCACAGTTTGTTGAAAATGCCCACTTTCGGCGTTGTCGCCGATGCGGTGGAACAGGCAGTTTGGGGCAAGTGCCACTTGTAGTGCCGACAATAACAATAAATGAAAAATGGAATACTTTTAGTTATGTGAGTGCAGAAATGCTAAAGCGTTCAAAGTTTCTATCAAAACTTGTGTGACATAATCCAATTTGCCCCATGCCTCTGCGGGTGAGAGCCGGCATCGCCCCAATGAATTGCTGCTGCTACGGCAATTTCGCCATCGAATTTGACAAGCAGTACGTATGTGTATTTATTGTTGTTACGTGCGCTTTGCGTGCATTTTATTTGCAAAGTTGTTAAAAATGCAAAATTTGTTAAATTTGACAAAAATTTGGGGCGAGGTCCCCTTTTTAATTCCAGTCACATTTTTACTTTATGTTACATACCTAGCTATAGAATACCTATAAATCATAACAATTAATTTTGCGCTCGATTTAGAGGTTTCGTATGTCATTGCCTTCTCCCAATCTCACTCAGTGTCCTTGAATCCTTCCTTGAATGCATAGAATTAGCGTCAATAGATATGTATAACGAACTTAAGGCACCAAAGTCTCAACTTTGCAACCAATATTTACTTTTTTAGCTTAACGTAGATGGTTTTAAGGACGACTAAACTGAGTTGTACCAGGAAGAATTGCTACTTATATGCTTTCTCAAAGCTGAGCTCAAGCTCAGAGTTTTGCCTATTGAATTCATTGTATGTATATATCTTAGTATTTTAGTTGTCAGTAAATACATATGTATATATAGAAATGAAATTGTTTATTCCATTATGTAAGTATAATATTAGTAGGGTTTTATGGTAACTTTTTTATAAAACGAAATCTACTATTTATGAAGAAACTGTGTAGTAGATTCCCATGATTGTTTCAATGATATTTACCGATTGGGCATTACAGTGATACCGTGTTGTAAAACGTCAATTTAAAATTATTTGGCGCGAGAAGTTGACGTTGACAGAGTGAGGCATATAGTTTACTCTCTTGTTGCAAAGCAAATCGCTTGTCGAAGCATTTCTCCAAAATCGTGATAAATAATTATCCTGGCCTCATTATACTGCTTCACGTTGACGTGAGTCATTAATACGATGGAATCAATCGGCGAATCATCAGGGATCGATATTGTTTTAGTTAATCTGCGATGTTTAACGTTGCATGGTTGCATACTGCGTCCTAGTTAAAACGGTTAACAAACTAGGGTCACGATTCATAACCAGCAGGGCAATGAAAGTTCGCTGTTCATCGCTGTCTAGATTTACAGTTCAACAGCTGCTGAATGCGATGCGCTTTGTTTTCGTTGTTACAAGCAACGTCAAATAAAGTTTCATTTTTGGTTTTTCTGGTGAATGCACTAACGTCGCCTCTACTTCTAAGATCCAGCAGTTCAGCTACAGAGCAACATACCTTAATGCAATGTTATTTCCTTAGTTTCCGCGCGTCATCAGCGCATCAAATTGGAAACAGCCGTCTCTTTTCGGCAGGTAATTGGTGCTCCGTGGCTCTGGCATCGGAAAGTCTAATGCGGAATAGAACTGAAAATTAGACTTGCGACAAAAAAAAGCAATCGAAATGGTAAATATATGTACGTACATACAATCACAATAGTGCAGTGTGAATGGCAGAAACCACGACAAAAACGGAAAAATTGGGATGAGCTCTTAGAAGCTGTCGGTGCTGCAAATAAAGTGCCATTTATTTTCCGAATTATTCGAATTCACGGCTCGGTGATGATGCTGCGGCTTTGCCAAGGACTGAATTCAATTGACATAGCGAAAGTGCATTCAAGTAAGTTCTTTGCTATGCCGCCAAAGCCTGTCAATTGCAATGAAGCATAGGCCTTCAACGCTAAATCGCAATTCAACCGATGTTTACCGATTATTGGTGCGCAAAAAAATCTTCAAATGTGCAAATATAAGAAATGAGTTAAGACAAAGTGATAAAAATGGATTTTCATTACACCAATGGTTTCTCTATTTTTATTTATGATTATTAGCTTCTGTCCGTCTTCAGTCCCTGATATTGGTAAAATGTGGTTTCAAGCCAGTTGCTTGGACTTAGGTGCAGTAATTGGATCAACAATATTTGTAGCATTTGTAGCATTGACTTACTGTCCTGTTGCTGGATCCTTTTCTATGGAAAGGCTTCGCGTATACTAGCTTGTTGTAGACACTTAGCGTGTATGATTGCTCAAGCATCAATCATAGCTTAATGTCATCAATCAACAGCGAGCTTCTGGTGCCGCGTATGTTGCGTAACGTAAAACCACTACCAGCATGACGCGTGGTGGCACGTCTTCACCACTGTCATCCCCACATATTCTTGGGTTTGTTTTATAGGCGGAGGAGGGATGAAATGAGTTTGGTGCGAAATTAAGATTTAATCATGTTTGGTGCCGCACCCTTTGCCTTCCGTTCGGTTACTGTCTTCAGATTTCATCAGCGATCGCAATAATTTTTCGCGATATGTTTAATAGGGTAGTGTTGCTGTGTCGCATGACCGACGATGGCGCTTGGAATTTATTGACGGATGGATAGATTGGTGACACATACGCGTTTACGTAGATGTTTATGGATATACATATGTATATACTTATGTATGCACATACTTAATTCTAAAATGCCCATATTAGGAATGTGCCTACAATTAACGGTATTCAATTCTAAGTTGTTTCAAGATGCCCGAGCAGATAAGCATCAAGCTCCCGTTATATTTTGCTCACTTTGATATAATATACTTATGTAACTCTATGTCTCTATCTTTGAACTTGTGCTATAAATTATCGCTAAGTGAACAAAACAATATTAGTCATTGCACATCTATATACAACCATATTATTAGATGAAGATAACAACCTCACAGTTTAAGGGTTGGTTATTATCCTTGCTAATATTTCAAAGGTACATAGCTTATAAAGCTCGCTTTTGAAAAGCTTTAGAGAGGCAAGTCATTTTCGCAGCTTTTTTTTCAAAATGCTCTTATCGCGCCTTTCCAAGAGATGGCGATGCTTCTGCAAGCCAAATAATGGGAACAATAATCTTGGTGCCATATTATTGGCGGGGTGAAACTGAAAAGAACTGCAGTTTTGGTTTGGTTTTAATATTCTTATGTAGTATATTAAGGTGCGTGGATTTTCCGAAGAAAGTTTTTCAAGAAGTCATTTTTCTGCAATCAAGTTAGATTTTATAAATAAACAAGAAAAAACGTTAACTTCGGCTGCCCCGAAGCTAATATACGCTTCACAGGTGTATTTTTTAGTAACTATGTGTTCAGTTTGTATGAAAGCTCTACGCTATAGTAATCCGATCTGAACAATTTTTTAGTAGATGATATTATTACCTTAAGCAGTAATCCATGTCAAATTTCGTGAAGATACCACGGCAAATGCAAAAGTTTTCCCTTGATTTCGATAGTTCGGTTTATATGGTAGCTATATGCTGTAGTGAGCTGATCTGAACAATTTCTTCCTATATTACATTATTTCTGTGAACAATAACTTATACCAAATTTCGTGAAGATATATCGTCAAATGAGGAAGTTTCCTATGCAACCATTTGATTCCGACCATTCAGTTTGTACGACAGCTATATGCTATAGTTAAGCGATCTGAACAATTTCTTCGAAGATTACATTGTTGCCATAGAAAATAATCTATACAGAATTTCGCGAAGATACATTGTGAAATGTGAAAGTTTTCCATACAAGAACTTGATTTCGATCGTTCAGTTTGTAAGGCAGCTATATGTTATAGTGGTCCGATATCGGCCGTTCCGACAAATGAGCAGCTTCTTGAAGAGCAAATGACGTTTGCAAAATTTCAAAACGATATCTTAAAAACTGAATGACTAGTTCGTATATATACAGACAGACAAACAGACGGACATGGCTAAATCGACTCAGCTCAATATACTGATCATTTATATATATACTTTATAGGGTCTCCGAACCCTCTTTCTGGGTGTTACAAACTTCGTGACAAAGTGACAAAATGGAAGCGGATGACTTTTGCTTTTCGGGACTCAAGACAATATTCCCTGTTCAGAAATTTAACGTCAATAAAGCACTGAAGAACGGGTATCGAAAAATCGGACAATCGTTATAATTGATGCTGTCTCCTTAACAACTATGTTGAATAATAAATTCAAGGAGTGTTTGAAAAAATATGTACCGGATGGGTTCACATGATTGAAGAAAAAAGTTAACCTGGTCGAATATTATTTAATAAGTGCATTTATGTTTAGAGTATCTCCCTTGAACACTGCCTACTTTTGCGCTAATAAATATTTTAGCGTGATTTGCTATAATTGCAGTAATATTCGTTCAGTATCTTGTCATCTTGTTACAGTGGCCATTGACAACAGAACATAACAGTAATTAATTAGCAAACTACGAGCTCACCATTCAATGATGCTTGTAGATGCAAAGATAATTCAGGTACTCAGAAATTGAGCTGTAAACACATATAATAAAATTTCTATATAAGTAGTGGAAAAATAGACCCAAATTTATAGTCTAGTTGAAAATGCTACCCAACTTACTGGAGCACATATTTTTCTTCGCATCACTTTCCGTACTTGTGGTCGTTGTTCAGGTTTATATATGATAAATCGTCAGTTCGCTTGATTTTACTATGATTTTCTTTGTAGGCAGTTAAATATGATTTTGTCGTAGAAAATGAGGACGTGTTTACGCCATGTGAAGACTTTCCAGATAAATTCATAGATAAGTTCTTCGACATTTCGGGTCTATCTTTTGAGCGGGAAGCCGACCTTATAAAAGTCACCGGAGATGTCAAGTTGATCCATGAATTCGATAAAGCTATTCCTATCCAGGTAAGTTTCAAGTTGCAGTACATGAGTTTTGTATTTATAACGTGTCCTGTCATCGGATTGAGTAGCTTGATGCGCAGATATATAAGAGGTCGCGCGGAGAGTGGGTTGATACAATCTACAATATTCGCCGACCGGATTTCTGTCCGACGCTGTATAGTGAAAACGAGCTGTGGTTTATATTTACTAAAGTGGTGCCGGAGCAAGACCGCAAGTGTCCGCCGCAGCCTGGTGTAAGTTTGTGTGCAGTTCCTATGTGAGATATTGCTTTTGACTCTTAATTCAATTTTTCACAGCTCACAATATCCTTCGACTCACTGTTCGGTTTGTCCTATGATATATATGACCGCAGTGCTGAAGGCGAGTATAAGTTAAAAGTCATGATAGGCCAAGGGAGAGACATTATGTGCTTCGAAATTGAGTCGAGTGTCTACAAAAGTGATTGAATGTCTCTATGTTTAGATGTTTGTATATAAAATTTATTGAATAAATTGATGCTAATAAAGGTCTTTGAAAATTTAATTCGTTTTGGCAAAACACATCGGTGCTGATTCGTCCGCACTTTTCATCAAACTTCGGTCACTACTTCATCCCTTAGATTGGCACATCACTTTCTTCGCCTTTGTCAAGCGATTTCGTTGCTAATTCTTCCATTTTCGACAATTGGCTGAAGGAAGCCCCGTTTATTGTCGCTGGAGCTGTGTGTGGTCGAATGCGTTTAGTTCGAAAAGGCGTGAAAGATCGGTACCATAACTGAGAACAGAAGACACTCATTTTAAGTAAATTCAAATTAAAATTGATCTTAATATGATTTAGTAGCCACTTTTATCTATGTATGAAATGCTTACCTTCCTGCGCGCTGTGTTTTTCAGATGATACTGAAATTGGCGATAACGACCTTGCTTGATTCGTCCTTCGGTTATCAAGCGATTGAGGTGCTCCTGCCAAATCTAATGAATTAATTTAATTACATCTCCTTTTATTCAACATAATTTTCCCATAAATATTTACCTTCATATTCGAGTCCGCTTTAAGGCGTGCTTGCAATGAGTCCATATTGTCAATAATGTGTTTAACCAGCCATGCCACTCCGCCCCACATACAGCTTAAATCCAAGTTTTTACCTATATAGCACACATGAGCGCTGCTGAGATAATATTTTGCAAGTGCCTCTAGTTGAAAGGTGTTCTCAATATCATAAAGTTGTACTCCCTCATCGGCCAGATCGGCTTTTGTGGCTAGTAGTAAAAAGGGCTTCCCTCGTATGTGGGGATGCATTAGAGTCCGCTGAAAACAGTCAAAGGAATTTCGTAACTCATTGTATGTGGCCGACATATCGAAGCAATATATGATCCCCATAGTCGTTAAAAAATAGTGATGCCATATCTTTTGCATCTCCGTGCTTCCACCAACCTCGGTGATGGAGACTTGCCGTTCCGGAAGCTCCATCCTAAAATATTGCACCCCATTTGTGGGCTCATAAGTTTGGCGGTGTTGACGACTCAATAGGTGGCCGACTTCAGTCTTGCCGCTGGCCATGGGTCCAAGTAACAGAAGCTTTATATGCCTTTCGGGAAGTGTGCCGACGGTGTTTCTGAAAATTAATAAATTTTTTACTAGTTGAAATCGATTGTAGCTTCACAGGTATCTTGTGATACCTGTTTCTTTGGCAGCAATCGCAAAGCTTAAACAATGACGCGCCCATTAATGTGGGAAAGTCCCTGAATACGCGCTTCTCCTTTAAACCGTGTTTTACATACGCACAAATATTTTAAATTATTCTCGGTCGTAGATTCATTGTTTTTCCGGGAGCGCTGTTTATTTGCTGCTATAGTAAATGGAAAGCAAAAATGTTTGTTGCTATGCGACGAGCTATTGTGGCCAAACCAAACACAATGTTGCATGTGTAAACTAAGGTACTGTTCTCAGCACTGGCAACGTTGGAAGCATTTTCCAGCTACTTATATCACAATTCATTTAAGCCTCTAATTGTCAGTGTTATTTGACGTAAACATTTGGAATTTCTCACTTCTTTACAAAATGACTTATTTTGAACTTTAAGGAGGGAGCTTTTTGTGCTTTCGTTTGCAATTCTGACGTTGGCGATGTAGTCTTAGTTGGTATCAGATATTATCGTTGAGTTTCTTCTACATTCTACGAATGCCAGTTCTGTCTTCACTATTCCGTGGGTATTCGCATATTCGCATATTTGAAAAACCATACTTAATTTGTTGTTGCGACCTTGCGGTCAAACACTTCAATTTGGGCATTCGATTGCTAATTTCCATATGTGTGTCTGTCCACTGTCTTGTGGCAATACAGCCGCCTTCACTAAAATTTGAGTAAAGTGTAAACGCTTGTTATGCTCACCTGAAACCACTTGTTCAACCACAAGTAGTTGCGACAAACAACAATGATGGTGCGCCGATGTTAGCAGCAGTTGTGCTTCTATGAAGGTGTAAGCGCATGTCTGATATAGTGAGCTCTCCATCCCCCTGTCCATAGTTTCATGTTTTATTACTTTTGCAACATGTTGCTTAAGAGTTTAATATTTTTATTTCCCTGGCGGTTTGACGTATCATCTAATGTGGCATAAGCAGTAATTTGGCACAGGAGATCGCAACAGCAAGGTGCACCCGTGGGAAAAATTTTTTGAAAAAGCGGGCGAAGCTCCGCCCTATAATAACTTTAAAGTACATGTGTTTTAAACCAATAAAACTACGTTGACCAAATTTGCCGGGCTCAAATATTGTAAAATTTTCTATCGACAGTGTTTTGAAAGAAGTGCATTTCATCTCATTCGGTGAGAGAATCGCTTCAGCTTTTGGATCAAGATAAAACAAAGCATTTGCATACTTATCTTCCTAACAAACATTTCCAATGCTCGATAAACTAAAATCCAGGGAAGTTGAATCATGGGAGTTGCAAAGTTGAAGATCTAACACTAAATGTAAACTGCTCTTTTCCTCTTTGAATTTTCGAGATTCGATATTCACCAGTTCTACCTCTTTGCAAAGCATTTAGTATAAATGCCATGTTAAGTTGAGTGCTATTTTGGCATAAGTTCTCCAAATAAACGGAGGATAATACGCGGATTTACGCTTTGCTCACCCTTAGTTATCCTTTAATAATATTCCTGAACAATAATTAGCTAAATGTTCTCGAACCAACATTCGCACCGATTCGACTTCTTTTTATTGCACATGCGAAGGCGCTTTTTAAAGAGGTTTCTTCGGATTTTCCCTTTCAGATGGCGTTAATTACAGCTTCAGTAGAAGTCACTAAGAAACATTAAACATATATTAGTAAGCAAATTTTCGGATCAATGATCACCAACGTGCCAACACAGACGGACATTTGACACTGCCACTCATAAGTTGACGCACGCACAGCTGAACGGAATGAAGAGCTGTGCGGCACGTCGTAGAGCGATTAATTGCCTTATGAATTTCTTACCACACACTTTTATGATTTGCAAGATACTTTCGTACCATGTTATTTATTTGTGTACGCAGATATTTTTGCTTTGATCCCTAACGTAGCGGCAAAGCAAATGTTTATTTTGACGTAGGGCTGCTACATGCGGAGCCGCACTATTTTTGTCAGCCGTGAGGTGAACTCACCGGAAAATCCTGTCAATTGAATGCATCTGTAATTTAGAGTTGTGTGGCGCTGCCATTGCCACTTGCACTCGTACATGCGAAATGCCACATGCCATATGCCACATGTGCTCAAGTGCGCATTATTTGGCTATCATACAGTTACATGCCACTCGTCGATGTGGAGATTAGGCACGTCGAGAACAGCAAAGTGTGCTAAGGTCCCGTTATATCCATCATCGAAAATTTGAATTTCCCTCGTTCAACGTCAATACGAGTATTATGAATTTTTAAGACTTCTTTGCTTGTGACGGTATGAACTCGTGCAGTCTCCGGTTTGAAGTCAAAAAGTCAATGAGATTTAAATATTTGTTTTCTAGAATAGTGAGTATTGAGCAAGTGCCGATCGGCCCGAGCAACCGAAATGAAGTACCCTGTATTTGCAGCTGCACTTAATTCATTCATCGAGCGAATCCGTGCCAAAAATAAAAAGCGTTGCAGCAAAGAGCAACACGCAGTCAATGGTGCGGGTCTGTGGTGTTTGTAACATGAGCGACACTATGAAAAGTGTTGCTTCATTCATGCATAGTCGGACGATGGTGGTCGCGAATGCAGAGTGTGAGCGGGGTCTCGTTTCTAAATTTACACTGAGAGTATCCGTATTCGGCCGATGTGCTGTGTGACAGCCACAAGCGAGCGTTGTGCCTAATACTATAGGCGATGCGAAGGTCCCAAAAGCAAAAATCATTCGAGTTGCAGTTGTTTGCGGCATGTTGCAGCTGTAAACTTTGCAGCATCTCACATATACACCCATGCGACACATAGGCCGGTGAGTTTAATGTGTTTGGCGGGTTCCCGCTTGGCAATTATTGCTCCGCCAGCGGCTGCAAGAGTGAAAGTGGTTGACGTGCCGGCCGCACCGGAAGACCGCGAATTCCACGGCAGCTCAACTTAATGAGTATCCACAGTGGCAGCTGTCAGTGTAGAGCCGCACAAACGCAAATAAAACGAGTTATTGAAGCAACAACACCAACAACTACAACTTATGCAACACACTTGCACCGATCTGGGTGTGCGATACTTTTCAATCCAATCCACCACGCGGACAACGCCATGAGACACACACAGACCTGCCACCGTACACACATTTCTACACATGTACATATGACGCTCGCACGCTGTTGCTGGCTCTTTTGCAGTGTAAGATGTTGCTGCACCATTAATATAGTCGCGTACGCGTATTCCTGGGTATACATACATATGTACGTAGAAGTGCAGTATGGAATATCAAACAAAGTATTGTGTTGACATGAAGTCGATCAACGATTTCAACCAATAACGGTGATCGACAAAGAATTCAAGAGAAATTTGTATTTGATTTGGGTAAAAAAGTGTGTATGTACGTCTATATTCCACACGTATTCAGAACAACTTCTGCTTAGTTGTCACAACCAGACAAAATGAAGGGGATTTTGGCTTTTATTTGTATAAATTTGATAATTTTCAGTTATAAGGAACAACAAATAAAATGTCAGTATTTATGAAAACATAATCTTGTTTAACTAAATGAAATACATAATGTAGAATCACCCAGGTAGGAGCGGACGGAGAGTTGTTCTCATATTCGATACAAAGTGGTCGATTTCGCCCACTCCTCAAAGTGCTCGAGATATTTTCTAGAAATACTAAGTAAAAGGGAAATAGGGTGCGTGTTTCGCTTTTTTTTATAATTAGCTTAAAATGTTCCGATTGAAACGCAGTTTGTCAAATAAGATTGAGCACCTAATCCGACCAAATTTAATTTTTTTGTTCTGATTCCAGTAAAAGGAATGAAACAATGTGCTGCCCTTATCGCTTTACATGGGGCTTTACGCACTTCAGGCTCAGTGTCGCTCTTGCAATTACCTAGACCACATGTGAGAAAGACGGTAACAAATAAATTAATGTCAATAATCGATGCTGAAATTTAAGAAACGATAAGCGGCCAACAACTCAGAAAATGTCACAGAGAGAGTGTTTCTACCGTCGAAGAATTCAATAAACCGATGCGGCGAAGTAACTGGAATCACTGCTCCCAGACGGCGATTGCATTGTGAGAAATCGGTGATTTATTCTAAGATAAATGAACTTTTGCAGTGGTCAATTATGGAAAATGAGTTTGGAACCTCATTGAGTTACCTGCTGCATAACCGTGACGTCAGCTATATATACCTGCACATATATATATTTATATATGTACTACAATACAACGTTTCTACTTCAAAGCTAAGACGCATCAGGTATTCTGTTTGATTGCCATCAATACATAGCGCGGCTGGGACCCCCAGGGAAAGTTGCACTGAATAGTGGTTGTACCTATTTTAAAGAACACTTTTTTTGTAACTACCAAGAAAAATAAGACTTACTCACTAATGAAATGTATATCAATACCATATTTGTAATTTCATTCGCCTATATTGAATGGATGACTTTACCAATCGCAACATGTTGCACAGAGTATAATAGATTTGTGTGCCTGAAGTTGGTTGTAACACTTAAATCTAATCAAGATAGACGCAGAGGTAAATCGAAATGCTCAGGACGACGAAATGGAAATCGTCTGTGCGGTAATCTGATCACTGCCACATCCACTACACAGTTATTCAGTTGGTAAGGGGATCAAATTAGGCAGCATACTATGATAATTTGCTTAAAAAACTCTTTCGAACAGAAGTGGTTAGATGTAATTCGTTTAATAAATCGCCTAACTAACTTCCAGCAATCAAACCTGCGTTTAAATGCGAGAAATGACAGACACAAAAGATTTGCATTATTAATTTGCATCACTTCACGCTGACGCGCAATTGAATATGCAACGAGATGCTAAATAATCACTACCCTCAGTGCCAGCTTACGACGCGTTCGCCTTGTCACCTTCAGTTCCTGGCGCAAGGCGTCCGCCAGCAAATTGCTACCTTCATTCCCTACAAATCGGTCAGCATCAGCGAGTCAAAGTAGTTGATGCCAACTCTGCGATTTCGAACACCTGCAGTTCTGTAATACGCGCCCTAACAGAACAGTCAGCTGCCGGATATACACACGCATACTTATACGGACCCCAATACAGAGAATAA